CATCCTTATCACTTTACCACTGTATAACAAGTATTCTTACAAGTGCACTACCCTTATGTATGTGATCATCCTTATGTATGTGGTTATCCTTATGTATGTGGTCATCCTTATCACTTTACCACTGTACAACAAGTATTCTTACAAGTGCACTACCCTTATGTATGTGGTCATCCTTATCACTTTACCACTGTACAACAAGTATTCTTACAAGTGCACTACCCTTATATATGTGGTCATCCTTTGTATGTGGTCATCCTTGTCACTTTACCACTGTACAATAAGTATTCTTACAAGTGCACTACCCTTATGTATGTGGTCATCCTTTTGTATGTGGTCATCCTTTTGTATGTGGTCATCCTTGTCACTTTACCACTGTACAATAAGTATTCTTACAAGTGCACCACCATTAAGTATGTGGGCATCCACATTGTGAGTAACATCGAACTGCCAGCGCGTATATGAACATACCTTCCACGAGCTTTGCCAAATGGTTTAGAGAAGAACAGTTGTGTTATGTATATGTATGATTTTATGGCTACTTTGGCATTTTAAATAGATCTGTAGTACATGATTTAGAGAAGAACAGTTGTGATATATATATATATATATATCTATATGATTTTACGGCTACTTTGGCTTCTTAAATAAATATGTAGTACTCGCCCCAATACAGGTAAAATCAAATGCGAAGCGATTCAGGACATCCAATCACAACTCAAGGAATGGCGTGTGACGGTGGACACGCGCACACGAGAGCATCCAGAGCCAATCAGAACACAAGAAACACAGGTGAGTGCTCCACCAGAGTATGAGCAATGTTGTCTGTTCTACGTCATGTGGAATCAATTGATGGACGGCACATTCAACGAGGCTCACATATACTTGTAAACCTCTGCCGTATCACCTACCAGACCCAACCCTCCTGTGAAGCGGAGTCGGCGTTGCTGTCGCGGTGTTCTGGTGCGCTGCTAGCCCTGCAGAAGTCCATTCGCAAATGTGGGCCAACTATCGACAACAAAGCGAGTCTTTCAGAGGGTCTTAAAGCGGCTGCCGCGTGTCTGGCGCAGGCGGCTGGGTTGGCTGCGGCAGAGACCAAGGTGTGGTTGTAGTGGGCTGTAAATAAAAATTATGTGTATATATATATATATATATGTG